AGCGGCTGGGCAGCTGCCCCGCCGGGCTGGCCCGCACCTTCTTCTTTCGCCGCTTCTTTGGAGCGGCCCGAGGGGTGCCCCCCGCCGGGGCGAGACTGCAGTTGGGCAAAGGTGCTGGGGCTCGAGACTGAGGGGTCAGACACGGACCGTCCCCCCCTAGGAAGTGAGGGAGGAAGAGGGTGGGGGGCAGTGCCCGAGGGTCCGGAATCCGTGGTAAAGGCGGCGGAGCGGAGGTCACCATCGGGAGGGCCCCGAAGTAACCGCGGGCGGAAAAGCCGAGGGGTGCCAGGCGGCCGCTCAGGACCAGCGGCTCCCGCTGCGGGACGGAGACGACGGTCATAACTCCGGGAGGAAAATGGTTCAGCAGGAGGAGGAGGAGCAAGCGAAGCCGGAGAGGACAGGGCGACGGCTGCTGCCCAGAGGCGAGCGGAGCGCGGAGGAGGACACGGGCGGTGGCGGCGCAGCAACGAACAGCCTCCGCTCCAGCTCCGAGTGTTGTTATCAGAAGCTCCGCCCCATCACCCACCCACCTCCCCGCGAAAACCCAATCAGAGCCCGACGGGGCACGCCACGCCCGCGGCTCCGCCTCCAGCCCTTCTGAAAGACACACACACACAAACAAGCAGCCTGCTGCAGCGGGGCACAAAGAGCGCGCACTGCGCAGGCGCCGCCCGCCGGCCCTTCGGGAAGAGTGGGCCCGGTGAACAATGAAGTTCCGCTCGCCCCTCCTCCCCCGCCCTTTTCCTTCCTTCTCCCCGCACCTCGCCTTGCAGGCAGAGGTCAGGCTGAGTTTGGGAATGGGCTTGCGGGATTACGAGGTTGGGGGGCGAGAGGAAGGGAGAAAGAATCCGGAAGCACCAAGGCCACTGACCTTGGGGAAGTAATGTCTTATTTCCAGCCCATTATCGGTTTGGGTTTTGTTGTTGTTTTTTAAGATCTTAAACTACATTATGGGGATTTCTTTCCTAGCAACCGTGAAGAAAATCAGTCGTGGTTCACGTTCTTTTCCAGTTACTCGGCTGAGCAACGCTGCTCGTTAGCCATTGGTAATCGGAGTAAGAATTAAGGGAGTGAAATTAAGTGATTGAAATCTGCCCCTTAATATAGAAAAAGTTTTCCATAAATCCGTAATTGGGCGTTGGGAATGTTACTGCCTTCGTACTTGAAGGACCGTGAGACTTCGGGATCACAGAACGCCGCCTGAGAGCGAATAGGAAGCAATGGAGGAGGCTTGTGTCCCCGAGAAAGTGAAACAGCTCTGCAGCACAGTGTTCTGCTCTGTTTGTAAATAGAAACCTCGCTCTCATCAGGTGCCCGCACTGCGCTCACATACACACACACACACAGAACTGTGGCGACTTAAACAAGAGCTGATGTGCCAGGAACTGTTCTTTACGTAAATTATCTCATACGAATCGCACAACGCTAAGGAATAGCTCCTCGTTTTATAGGACAGGAAACAGGTTTGGAGAGGCAAGAAGTACTTGTCAAACATCATACAGTAAATTAATACCAGAACTTGAACTCCAGTCTAGGTTTGGCAAGAACAGAGATTTAACATCCATACTGCCTGCCATACTAGATGGCAGGTTTTTAGAACGTAATAATCTTATATGTCTCTGTATCCTCAGTTTCTAACCAATACTTTCCAGCTTTGTAGTGCTTGATAAGTGTTTTATAATTAACTAGAGACCCGGTGCATGAAATTTGTGCACTGGGGCTGGGGGGGGGGATCCCTC